TGGTTATTTACCACCAACTTGTGGGTTACCCCCCTTTTCTTTTTCCCGGGAGTCCTACTGGTTTTCACTGAAAATATTCTTAAACTCGTTTTGGTTTACATACCTCTGGGTCGTTGCTTGTAAATTTCCCATCACCTTCCCAGTCTGTTACCTGGCCCCTTGACTGTTGTTTTCCCCCTGATGTGGTGTACAACAGTTCGGGTCAATTTTGACTTTCGATGCTATGTCATTTATTTTGTCGCTAGCCCCCCTTCTTATCTGGTTTCATTTCGGCTTTTGGGCTAATCTTTTATTTTCCTGAGTTTCGTCTTCTTTACCTTTTCCTTCTCATACATCTGTTTTTGCCTCCCACCCCTTTTGGGGAAACCCAAGGACTTTTCTGTTTTCCATTATTTCTGTTTCCTTGGGAAAAAAACCCTCTCCTTGCTCCTTCTTTTTGTTGCCACTTCCACTTTTTTACTTTTTTCCTGTCAGTTCCTTCCCCCACTAAATGTTTTAAAGGAAGTTCCTCATCCCTGATATTCCCCCTTTTTTGTAGTTTGGTTTTTCCCCCCCTTTTTCCTGCTACTCTCTCCACTTGGAGCTAAAATTTTTTGTCGAAGCACAGAAAAAAATGATCATAGCTCCCAGGGGCTTTCATAAAAATATCCTCGATGTCTAAACTACTAAAGGGTGAATACAAGGTCCCGTCTTGTGGTCATCTTCTCCCCTCTTTGGTAGTGTCTCTTTTCATGTGTGCATGAGGTTTTTTCCCAAAACACCATATCTTGGCTCTCCCTTTTCGGGAACCCCATGGGTCCAGGTTTTCCCCTCAAATTTCCCTTTTGGGTTTAAATCACCCTAACTAGTAATTTTCTCCCCCCCCGTGGTCTCCCGGCCACCCCGGGTAGGGGTGTCGCCCTGGCCTTTTTGCTTCATGTTTTCTTTTTGGTCTCCTGCGTTTGTGGTGGTTGACATTACTGCAATTATCACCTTTCGTCCCCCCCGACTGGGGTTTTTCCTACTAAGTAGTCCCTTTCAGCCCTGCATCCATTTCCCTTTCCCTTTTTCAAACCCCCCGGCTTTAAAGAGCATGCAATTCTCCTCCCCCCTCTCCTCCCCTGTCTTTTGAGGATTTTATACCGGGGGGAAAAATGAATCTGTTATTATTTTTGGGGAGTTTTGTTTTGTGGTGCTATTTTGTCTGGGGATGTCTCCTTTTTTCTTTTGTGCCCTCCTCATTTATTTGTTATCCCTCTGCATTTGTATACCTACCCTTTAACTTTTTTTAAGACGTGGGGTGGGGGTGTTGGGGTTGGGGAAGTGGGGGACCCGATAAGGAATAGGGGGGTGTGGGGGGTGGAAGTTTTTAATGTATGGGTGGGGGGATTGGATATGGGGATGGGTGTTTTTTTTTAGAGTGTTTTGGTGCCTGGGGTTGACCCGGGTTTGGGAGGTTTATAGGAAGTGTGGGGAGGTTTTTTTGTCTTTTTTCCTTGTTGGATCCCGTCTGTCTTTTCCCTCCCCTCTCTTTCCCCTGTCGCCTTTGTAATCTCTCTCATTTGCCTTTCTCTTGTGTTCTGTGCGGGCGAGATAAACCTTCCCGTATGTCGGATGTCCCTTTTGGCTTTTCCTGCAGTACCTGTTTCCAGTCGTTTGCCTTTAAGGGCACTTTCACGGGGCCCGGGGTTTTTTTTTTTTTACAAACCCCCCCTTCTCCAAAAATTTTCCCGCTGGGTCTGGTTTTTTTCCGATTTCTTTTTGATGTTTCCCCAAATTCTTTTTTTTTTCCCTTGTTTTTTCTTCATATGTTTCCCCTTCAACTTCCCGTACCATACACAAGACTGCCCACCCCCTTTCATTCTCCCACTGTATCCCCCGTGTACCCCTTTCAATTTGATTTCCTCCATTGCAGCTTTCCTTTCTTAGTTTCACTGTATGTACATGGTTCATGGGCCCGTCATTTTTTCCCTTTTCGGCTTTCCCTGGGTCTGTGTGGTCTTTTAGGGCTCCCCATATAGCTTAGTCTTTTATTTACACGTCTCCCCGTGAGCTTCTACATGAGTTTTGCCCTTTTTTCCTCATCCCCTTTTTTGTGGCTGGGTGCGGTCTTGTTGTCAACCCCCAAATGGCTTTACTTTTTTGGGTTTTCAGATTTTCCGTTCCCCCTTTAAATCTGTATCCCGGCCCTGCTGCTTTACTTTCACTCCCATTTCCCGCTTTCCCTTCTATCCCCTTTTCCATTCCATGTAAGTTTTTAGTTTCTTTTTTTTCCCTTTTTGTTCCCCTTTTTTTAGCTCGTGCCCAAACTTCCTTTGGTTTCCTCCCCCTGCTCTTGGGTTTTTTTTGTTGCTCTCTGGCAACCCCTTTTGTTTTATCCTGATTGCCTCAGAGTGGGAAACCCATGTAATTCTGTGTGTTAGGTTATATTGTTTTTCAAAAGTGTGGGGGGGGGGAGGTAGAGGAGGAATGTGGGTATATGGGAGAGTAGTGGGGAGGGGGGTGGGAAGGAGAGTGAAGCAAATGGGTAAATGGGTAAGGGGGGAGTGGGAGAGGGGGAGTGGGGGGGGGGAGGGGGAAAAAGGGGGGGAGGGATCAGGGAAGGAGTGAGATGTCGGTGGGGGGAGGGGGGGGGGGGTGTATTGTGAGTTTGGCAATATTGGTTTGTTGTGTGTGTGTGTGTGTGTTGTGTGTTGTGTTGTGTTGTTTGGGTTTGCATTGTGTGGGGTGGGGGGGTGGTGTGTGTGTGTGTGGGTGTGTGTGTGTGGTGTGTGTGGGTGTGTGTGTGGGTGTGTGTGTGGGGTGTGTTGGGGGTGTGTGGTGGGTGTTTGGTGGGTGTGTGGGTGGGTGGTGTGGGGGTTGTGGGTGTTTGGGTGTGTGTGGGTTTTTGTGTGTGGGTTGTTGTGGGTGTGTGTGGGTGTGTGTGGGTGTGTGTGGGTGGGGGGGGGGTGTGGGGGTGGTGGGGGGGTGGTGGGTGGGGGTGGTGGGGGGTGTGTGGGGGGGTGTGGGTGGGGGTGTGGGCGTGTGTGGGTGTTGGGTGTGTGTGTGGTGGGTGTGTGGGGGTGTGGAGGTGTGGGGGGGTGTGTGGGTGGGTGTGGGGGGGTGGGTGGTGGGTGTGTGGGTGGGTTGTGGGTGGGTGTGTGGTGGGTGTGTGGTGTTGTGGGTGGTTTTGGGTGTGTGGGTGTGTTGGGTGGGGTGTGGGTGTGTGTGGGTGTGTGTGGGTGGGGGTGTGTTGGTGTGTGGGGTGTGTGGGTGTGGGGTGTGTGGGGTGTGGGTGTGTGGGTGTGGGTGTGTGTGGGTGTGTGTGTGTGTGGGTTGTGGGGTGTGTGGGGGTTGGTGTATGTGGGTGTGTGTGGGTGGTGTGGGGGTGGGGTGGCGTGCGACACTGGCTACGTACTCTTTTTAAGATTAAAAAAAAATTTTACAATCATTCCTTTTTAATATGCACTAATATTAAATTATAAAATTAATTTCGTAACTTTTGTTTGTGTGTGTGTGTGTTTACAGCTTGTCGTTCTTTTAAAAAAGGGGGGGGGGGGTCACGTTAACCTATTTGTTTTTGTTTTGGTCACTGACTCTCCCGGCCCCGATTCCGCACATACGCTCTTTACTTTTTTAAGATTAAGGTATTTTTTTCACTCAATTCCTTTTTAAATATATAAAGTTTTTTAAAAAAATAATTACGGGGGCACACGTGTGTTTGTATGTGGTATTGTTTTCTAGTTGTCCCCCAGAAAAACGGGGGGGGGGTTTAGGGACACAACTCTTCTGGGGTTTACTGGGGATATTTAGATAATTTACAACCATATCTATCCCTGGTACGAAAAAGGGAGAGAGGATGGTATAGAAAAACGCAGGCGAGACACTTGAGACTTTAGACACTAACCAAAATTAACCACAAATAGGCAAGTGATGTCGTCTGCACAACAATGGAGGTTCCTGCTGGTCGGCTGCTATCAACTCCTTCAATTTTGTAACTCCTTCAGGAACTTTATCATGCATTCAAGTTTTTATTTTCTTTTTCTTTTAAGACTTGGTATTCCCTCTTTTTTCTTTGGTACAGTATTATGGTCATAACAAGTCTGATGATATTAACTACATTCACAACACCAACAGCTGGGGACTGACTAATTTTTTCTTACTTTCAGTATTTACTTAATCACTCTTTTATGACCTTATCACTACACTGCTGCTATAATCAACCAACATATGTATTTGTTAATATTTCAGATCACACCGTTAACCCAATTAACTGTTTGGATATTTTGTGTCAACACTGCGGCCAGTAGCCTGATCAGCTGACTGCTACCCTCCCTCACACATTTCATTCAAATTTAAATTGTAAAATTCTTGATCCTATCACATTATTCGCACTCTTGAAAGCTATTACACTCTCGTAGGTATGTTCACTGATTCACTCACGTACGATGACCGCTAATAATATCTTAGGACAGCCACTAGAACGCTAAATCCTGGGAGCACTATTTAGCGATACTGCTTCACGTGTGTGTGTGTGTGTGTGTGTGTGTGTGTGTGTGTGTGTGTGTGTGTGTGTGTGTGTGTGTGTGTGTGTGTGTGTGTGTGTGTGTGTGTGTGTGTATGTGTGTGTGTGTGTGTGTACTCACCTAGTTGTGGTTGCGGGGGTCGTTCACAGCTCCTGGCCCCGGAGCTGTGTGTGTATGTGTGTACTCACCTAGTTGTGGTTGCGGGGGTCGATTCACAGCTCCTGGCCCCGGAGCTGTGTGTGTGTGTATGTGTGTACTCACCTAATTGTGATTGCGGGGATCGAGTCACAGCTCCTGGCCCCGGAGCTGTGTGTGTTTGCACAAGACAAAATTTTTGTATTACCGTACATTTTAAAATAAATCCATCTGTTTTAGTTGAATGCATTTAATTTTTTAATACATGTAACAAATGTTCAAAATTTACCACTTTAGCGCCACTTAAAGAAAAAAACAACAGTGACTGAGAATAACATGCAAAATTCTCGCTTGATCAGGGATGCTCCCTAATCTCTGCACCTGGTTCATCTTTCCCTCAAAGGGCACGAAGTCTCTATAGGCAATCCCTATAGTGCGGAGTCCCTCGGAGGCCATGCGGTCGATGACATCCTTCTCCAACCTCTTCTGCTCCTCCATGCTGAGCCTAGTCACTTCACCTTGCTTGTTTAATATGTAAGCACACCTGGAAAATTTTAAATTATTATTATTATTATTATTACTGTTGTTGTTGTTGGCGTTGTCGTTTTGTTATTATTATGTTAATGAGGAAGCGCTCAACCCGTAGGACTCGTACAGTGCCACGGAAATGAATGGTAATCAAGCTTGATCTAAGGAAAGGGACGGCAGCTCAAATTTCGTAAATCAAACGACCTTCACCGCTATCAAAATAACCTTCACTGTACTGCGGCATTAAGAAATTGAGTTTGATGCGTACAGTGAGGCACAACTGACAGCAGGAAAGCTGCAAATAAATAGTAGCTAGAACAATGTGAACGTTGTTTGAACAAGATATTCCAAGCTTCCTAAAAACCCACTCTGCTTATCCCAGTACATCTCGAGTCACAATTGTTGGAATTAGTCTTGTATATAATTGTCTCCTTTCGATCCATTTTTTGTCCAACAAATATAAAATTT